TCTTATTTGTTAGAAACCCACCTCCATCTACTCCAAATACCCTACAGACAGCAGACCCCTTTGGCAGGTTTTCTAGCCAGAAGATAAACTGGTTTCTCTAGGGTATAATCAAATGGCAACAAATGAAGTAAAATACCAAGGCATTCAGTTCCTTAAGGAATTTGGAAACATGGTCAAAGTTAAACTAGTGCCATTAGCAACGCACTTGGCAAGAGCCTTAGATGTACAGCAAACACTCCCTGTTTCACTTTGGAGGAAAGCAAACACCATTAAAATGAATGTCCCTCCCTTGAGCTGAAATTGTTTTTGTCTTGAATTTGTATTGATTTGGCAACAGGCCCAGAATGTCCCTTTCAGGGCGGGTGGCTTTACTCGGTGTCACACTCTACCATCAACCAATGGCCCCAGAAAGAAGCAGAGTTTGTTACCCCTTCACCCACTGCTAATGTGCTGCCCTCAGATGGCTACTGAGTCCATAAAGGAAAATTACTAGCTCTCATGGCACCTGGGAATATGTAGTGCATGTAACTAAAATAAAGTATCTCACTTACAGGCACTAAGCCCTGTATATGGGAGAATTCAAAGCTTTTAGGAGGCATCCTGTCATTTGGTCAGATGGGATAGGGAAAGGGATCTTGACTATCAGTCACCTTCTTGAGAAGGACATCTTTCTTCTCCAAACAGCCTCAGAGGAAAGATTCTAGAAACTAGGCAGAAGTGGTAATAGAGCCAGCTTTAGCATGCCACCTCCTACCATCTTGGCCCCGATACTGTGCTACCCCTCACCTACCTGACCTGCTTTCATTGCTTCAGAAACTACCTGATCACCAAGATCCACAACAGAATCCATGTAAACATGGGCCAAAAAACTGAATTACACACAGATTTACTAGAAGTAAAACACTTGTATGAAGAAGTCCAATTACTTATTGCTACTCATTAGAAACAAGTCCTCTGAGTGCTCTGCTGTTTCATGAACCTCCATTTAAGATTAACCAGCAGGAAATAACTTAGAGGGTACATTGGACTCCTTCAGTCCAGTCCAGTCCAGTTCAGTCCAGTCCAGGCTTCCCCCCCTCCCCTCCAGCTTTTTAAAAAATAGGTGCCTTTTGATCAGATAAATGCTGGTGCTGTGACTCACAACAGGCACTAATTTAACTCATCTGCTCAGGGAGCACTCCAACAATCAGTTCTGGGCAAGGCTTAATTGTGGAATTAATGTTTTTCCTATCAAACAAAATTATGTTACTTGTCAGCCATTTAATTTTAAGCCTGATGGATCCTAAATGGAAGCTAAATTAATATGAAAAAGTTTGGTGCAGCTGAGTAATAGCAACTGCTAAGAGACAAGTGTAATAGACGGGGCAATCTAAACGCATTCAACAGCTAAAGAGTGGAACGTAGATGCAATACAGCAGGCCACCACCGAGAAAATGATATGTGCTATAATTGAAATGCACAAAAAAATTCTCTGACATGGGAAACATTCCTGGAAAGATCTGACGAAAGATAGTAAATGTTTAGGCCTCTGTTTATTGTCCCTGTCCCTGAAAACTGCCAGCCCCTTCTTTTCCTACTACATCTGTTTTTCAGTTTCTTCCCTCACTTTTCCTCTAGCCCATCAGATTTCTTCCCTTAGCTCGCTATTCCTTCTTTCAGTATCTCTGGCTCAAAAACAGATATAAGACAGAATAAGACCTATAGCTAGATGGATTTTTTAGAAACCAATGTTGTTGGTCTGTAAGACGTAGAAAAGAAATAACTTACCTCTTTAGTAACCATTTGTATGTCCATCAATACAAATGTTGGAAGTACTGTTAAGGCTGGGTTGTAAATGATTGACATATTATGAGAAGTATGTATGTAGTTTGCTTTCTTTATACAGCCCAAAATGTAATAAAAATGTATTCACAAAAAATAAACTTTTCTCAGCTTCTAGGCTGGTCTGAGAAATTAAACAAAATCAATGCAAAACATCTGAGACAGTTAAAAACAAAAATCCTATCTAAAATGTAGCATGTAAACGTAGCCTGTTTAAAGCAAACAACAGGAATGAGGACAAAAAAATAAGATGAAAAAAACCCAGCCAGGAATGAGGATAAAGCCAGCAGCTCTCACAAGGCATCTGTGAGTAGTCTCACAAGGTACATGTATGTATTCTGTAAGCCACAGCTTGGAAACTACTATGAGGTCAAATGTACTTAGTTAGAGTAAAAGTAATGGCACTGCAGGATCCTTCAGAGTTGTGGTCTCTGTCAACTTCTTAAGCACACACAACAAATCAATTAGAGCAGTTTACTATCTCTTTTTATTATAAATGCCAGAGGCTTGGGTGATGAACTTTGAACAATGGGTCACCAACCTGAAGAGGTTGGGAAATGATCTAGTATTCACCAATAATTTGCTCTGACGGTGCCACCAACAGTAAAAATTAACCACTGAAGCCTGGTTCTGATTTGCCAGCCTGGAAAGAGTTTGAATTGGAGAAGATACTAAGGAGGCACTACAGAAAGAGATGCAGCCCTGCCCCATTTGAAACCTTCTTGAGCTGGATTCCCGTTGATTCCAAACAGAAGTGACTGGCCAGGGAGTTTTGTTCAGGAGGGGCCTAGAATTGGCTTTCTCTTGGTGCTGAACAGTCCCAGGCGGTTGAGCTTCAGGACATTCTGCATGGTATATCTTCACGTGTGTGCTGCCATCAAGGGTGGGGTACAGAGACACAATGGTGCCTTGCAGTGTTTATAGATGAGACTCCCTAGCTGAATGTAAACTGTATCAGAGCATTGTTAGCAGTTGGCATCAAGGCCTGAGGGGAAGGAAGTTTTGTGTTTTGCTGTCTAATTTTATTTTTGTTCTTGGAAACTTTTTTCAAGTTTATTTTCAGTCTTATTCCATGCTTGGAAACTTTCAAAAGCAGGTTAGACTGACACTTGACAGATACTAAACAGTCAGAGATGATCCTGCTTTGAGCAGGGGGCTGGACTAGATGAACTTGTGAGGTCCCTTCTAGCCTTACTTTCCTATGATCCTATGATCTTGATAACTCTGGCAGGGTCCTTTTTTCTTTGGGTATAAATCTAAGCAGCTATGGTGTCTTATGCTTGCTCCTTAGAAGCAACAACCTATAACCAAATAGTTGGCTGTTGTCTTATAAACACTTGTAATGCAGGAGCCAACATAGGCACAACTTTGAGGAGGTGCACAGGTTGGACGTGTGTTAGCATCAAATGCATTAGGATATGATTGAAGCGCTTTGCTTATTTACAGACAATGGCAGGGGGAGCTTTACCCCTCTCCTCTTGCCAAACAGCTTCATTGACAGGCAGAGAAAAGACCTCTGGGAGGCACGTTCAGTGCCTGCTGGGTCTGCTTACATAGAACCCTGTGCTTGGCACCAAGTCCTGCTACTTGGAGCTAGATGCTTATTTTCACTGTTTCTTTAAATACTTTGTAGCCAACAGAGGCAAATCAGTGTCAGATATTTTTATTTAGATACAGAAGATTCTCTAGAAACAAGGGCTGCTTCACATGAAAAAGACACTTAACATATTGGCACTCCCAGCTCTCTACATGGTAAAAGGCATGAGGGCTACTCTCCCAGGTCATACTGCTACAGAAAGTTGCTGTTGAAAGCAAGTGTTATCATTTGACACATTTGTGTATTCCTTAACAGGAACATCAGCATCTAATGTCTACATACCTACCTGTGTGATTGACAGCTGCCTAGTGTAATGCCATATTTTTCCATGATTCATGTTTTTGTTTTCTGAAATGACCGTGGCAATTTAGCCTGTTACCTAGTAACCAAGTCCCTCTTGCAAAGAAAGAAGAAAAGCAATAAAGAAATGATAAAAGACCTGCAGAGCAGTTAAAACTGAAAAGTGGTGAAGGATTCTCAAAAAGCTTTCACTGGGTACATCTACACATGCAAATAATGTGGGATCAGTTTACTCTAGAGCAGAGGTTCTCAAACTGTGGTCTGCGAGCTCCATTCAGGTGATCCACAGAAAGGTTGCAGAACAAATGAGAATCTGTACTTGTTAGGTAAGACTACTGATATTAAAATATGAGCTGTGTGCTTTGATTTGTAGAACAAAAAGTAGTCCACTGAGACCCTCAACAATTTTCAAGTGGTCCACAAAAAAAACCAGTTTGAGAACCACTGCTCTAAAGTACTCTAAACTGTCCCAGGCATGCATCTACACATGCAGGGATGCAGGAGCAGATTTGCTGCTCCTAGCAGCAGACTGCTCCTGCTCCCTATGGCCCTGCACTGGGCCCCTGCAGCAGCCTGTCAGGTGGAGCTCTAGGCTCCCCCTGGGTGCTAGCACAGGGGTTGGCAGGGAGCATGAGGCCAGGAGACAGCTGTTTCCTGGTGGCAGCTGGGACATTGCTCCCTGCCCCCAGGAGCTGCTTGCTGATGAGGTGGGCTCCACCACTAGGGCCTAGGTGGGGACAATCTCCCAGCCTGAGCTCTGTGGTCATGGGGCCCTGGGCTGGGAGATTCTTATCTCCCAGCCAGGACCCCATGACCACAGAGCTCAGGTTAGGAAATAAGAATATCCCAGCCTCTGCTCCCCAATCACAGTTGGGAAGCAGGGGCTGGGAGCTCCTTGCTGCCAGGGCAGGGAGACACCCGGGCTCTGGTGGCAGAGTTCTTCCTGGCAGCAGGCAGCTCCTGGAGGCAGGGAGCAAGCTCCTGTCCGCTGCTGCCCAGCTGACCAGGAGCACATTTGTTCCCAGTTGGCCGTCTACATGTGCCGCACTGTGCAGTACGTAACTGAAAGTAAATTTTTACTTGTATTTACAGGTAGCAAATTTACTCATGACTGCAGCAAATTACTGTGCAGTGTCTTCTTGTGTAGAAGGTGATGCTTACTGCACAGTAATCTTGAGTACTCTAATCTTGAGTAAAGCACCTTGTGTAGCATCACCCACTGAAAGGCAAAGAAATCCTGACTGTAAGCAGAAGCCATCATTTGTCTACATAACTCCAGCTGTGGGAAGTCAACCTGTTCAATAAGGCAGAATTGGCACCTTAGAGACTAACAGGTTCAGAGAGACATGAGCTTTCATAGGCAACAACTTACCATCTGACAAAGTAGGAAGGTGCCTATGAAAGGCACCTCTCTGAACCTGTTAGTTTCTAAGATGCCACACTGTCCTACCTTCTGCTTGACTTCAACCTAATATCGTTCAACACTGTTGTTTGATAAGGTAATGTATAAATACAGAGCACAGGACTGGTGCTTTTTTGGTTTCTCTTCTAAAGTAATACTTGGCCTTTCTGAAAACAAGGTACAGAGAACAAGACCTGCCATCAGAACAAGGTAAACTTTGCACATCAGTTGCTTCCAGTGCATCACAGTCCTGGGTCCCCCACAGCTCTACCTAATCACATGAGACCAAAATAGGCCTATTTAGCAGTATTTGAGGGGTTAGCAGCTGATAGAAATTCCACCACGAATAAGCAGAGAATTCAGCATGAACTGCAAGGTTAATTCGGTAAAAGCAGACAGATATTTCCAGGAAAGTAGACAAAATGCCATGTAATGCACCGGTTTTACTCCCTTGATTGGTATTGTTGTTATATCCTCTCAAGAATAGTCAGTTGACAAATATTACACCACCACATCATATATAAAGCCCAGTTAGAACAATGGAAGATTTCCGCTTCTGCATTTGTTTGGCAAACAGATTATCTCCTAACAGAATTAGGATTAAAATTAGACTCTCCAGATAAATCCTGGCCTGCAGTGCCCCCTGGTGCTTTGGAAAGGGTCTCGAACACAGCTGCACAGATGAAAGAACTTCCATGTCCTCTAAGATTTCATGATTTTGAAATCCTTTTTCATTTGAACTGAGCCAAAACCTGAAAAAGCTTAAAACTACATTTCTTTTCTGGTTGTTTTGTTTACTGTTGATTTTTGTAATAGAGAGCAGAACATTTAAAAAAAAAATTAAAAGGAAAATTGTTTCAAAACATCATTTCAAACATTCTGAAACTCTTCCCCCTTCAAGTTTTCTTCTAAAATGAAACTTTTACCAAATCAATCCAATTTCATGATTTTCACAGATACTGTATGTAACAGAAGCTACAGAATCTTAGTATCTGTGGAGCTGGTGGGCTAGGCGACTCCATCAGGCATGGTTAAGAATCCTCTGTCTCTTATTAGTGAGATTTCCAGAATTCTCTTTCCTGGGAAATGGTTCCTGGATAGCTGTTTCTGCTAGATTTGACCTGTTCTAGTGTGTATTTGGATCATAACAAAACTTTATCAGAGACTAGATTGAAAGCAACAAATATATTGCACATATGACCTAAACCTGCAATGAGACTGGGTGTCCACAGATGAGATGCCTAGGCATCAAACAAGGCTATTTGCCCTCCCACTCTCACCCATTATTTGTTACTGCAGAGAAGACAAGCTGTTTGCTGATTATGACATGGTGTTCACAGTCATGGTGCTGCTCCTTGCTTTCATTTGGTGGCAGATTTGATTTTGTGAATAGCGTAGGGGCTAGATTCTTTGGGCATCCAGATCTCCTCGCCCTCATGGCCCCTGAGCTCAGCTGCATCCTCCAAGGCTGCAGTCAGCTCTGGGCTGAAGATGTTCTCTGAGGCTCGGTAGTTGCGGGTTAGGCGGCGGAAGGAAGAGTCTGAGGAGCTGTCATCATTGTGGTTGTCCTCATCTTGGTTATCCCGTAACTTGGTCCTGGTCAGCTCAGAGCTACTTCCCATCTCTGAATCTTTGAAGAGCTCCTTCATGTCCTGTATGAAGGCCATTTTAGGACTGAAGATGCAAAGCAGGATCACCAAGCCTCCAGAGACTCCACAAAGAAAATAGAGCCCCACCTTCTCAGGGACACCTGGGGAAAAAAGTACAAATACTTCACCTCAACATATGAATTATGCCTAAAGAGTCACAGGCATCACTCTACCTTGCAAGGGACTAATAGTGTCATATCTCTAATGGGCAAATATGAGAGCAAAGGGAAGGAGGAATATAAAAACCTCATGCTTCCCAGTATTGGACCTAGCTGTGTCCAAGAAGGAATCTCTCCCAGCTTCCATGATATACTGTCACACAACTAGGGGCATGATAGGGCTTTACACATTCCTTGGAAGCATCTGTTTTTGTCTCTGTAGGTGACAGGATACAGATCACTGATCTGGTCCATTGGGACAAATTTTCCATTCCTGCAACCAGCACAATCCAAGTCTGATATGACTCCTGGGAGGGCTGGGGGCTGGTAGCACAATGGCCTCATTTCTAGTTCCAGGAATTATTTCAAATCATTTGCCTAAGTAACTTTTCATTATTCAGGGTTACTTTGCCAAGTGCTCTCAGTCCTGTGGGAGAGCTTTCATCAAGCTATTGAGTCTTAGCTGCGAGCTCTATGAGGTATTGTCATGTCTTTAGGAAAATTGACTCAAAAGTCTAAGAGAAAGAGGAAGAAGGCCCCTGCAGTCGCAAATGCTGTCTGCTGACCACCCTGGATAGTATCCTTCTTTCTCCCTGTAGTGGGTGAGGAATGTAGCAGTCATCAGATTTGTTATTTTCCATGTACGGGGTACAGTCTCCTTGTCCATTGGGCAGAGGGTGCTTCAGTCCCAGGTTCATTCAATCCTTGAATCTCCAAGACACTGCTCTACCCTTGCAGCTGTACCTTGCACACAACTTCCATGAAAGTCTCCCTCAAGTGTGCACCAACCTACAGCAATGTAGCCCTTTTGTGCCTGCTTCTGCCAGCGTTGTTATAAGCAAGAATCACTGAATCATAGACCTGTCTCTGTCCCTTCCCTCTCCTCAGGGAGTGGCTCATACCCAAAGAAGTCACATACCCCAGAGGTGAGCAAAAGTTGCTAGTGAGCTAGTAAAAATCATCAGATCTTCACGGAGCCTGGACAGCCGCGGCCCTTTGTACCAGCCACCTGCAGTGAACAAGGGGACACAGGCTTACAAACTGGGATTCAGGAACAACAGGAGCAAGTTGCTTGGCAACTGTTGTCGGCTCTGTAAACCTGAATCATCATCTGTCTGCTCTCCCTCTGGGGCTCTGCTCCTCCCCACTCCCATTCTGCACATCTCTCATGTGTTCCTTGCCAGTCACTACATCCTAGCTAACCTCTTCTCATTGCTTCCCCTGCCCTCTGTGCCCCACTCTCCACTCCTCCTTCTACATCTTGTTACAGACTACCCTCTTGCTTTCTGGTCTCCTTACTGCACATCTGTCCACTTCTCTCCCTTCTGCTTTATTCCTATGCCTCCTCCAAGTTCTGTTCCTCTTTGCTATCTATGTCCTACAGAACTCCCTCCATAGACCCAATGCTTTTCCTGTTGCCCACATTTCCTGTTCTCCATCCTGTTCTGGTGGTCTTTTTCCATCCACTTCCTCCTCCTTCATGAGCATAGATCCCAAAATGAGTGGCAGACCACGAGGCCACCTAAACAGCCTCCTCTATCTCTCTCTCCTGGTTTTAGAACCTTGCTTTTGTTCATGATAAAAATGTTCCCAAACTAAGAGAAGAGTAAAATCTTCTACCCTGCTTTTGTTACCCCACCAGCTGCTGCTTTTCTCTGTGGGTAAGCCCACAGCACAGACTCCAGTAAGGCATATAGATAGGGGGGTGCACTCATGCACTTGCACCCCGCTCTGATTCCTGGTCCATCCAAAGTTTAAAACCAACTGCCTCGCAGTGGCAGCAGCATTTCTAGTCAATCAGAGCTGAGGGAGTCACTTGGCTTCATGGTTCATTGCAATCTACCTAATCCCTTCTAAACTCTTCATTTCACAGGTGTTAATGTTCCTCTCTTCTTTTTAAGCATCTTGATGTTCCACTAATCAAGCTGTCCTTAGTTCTGTAATTCTGCTGTGTATTCACTGCTCCTGGTGATGAAGCTTCTATTTCACAGCCCTGCAGATAGTTTTAACTCATTCCAAAGAAGTTATATTTTTCGTTTCAAACAGAATAATACAGCCCTAGGCTCTTGGCATATTAGTAAAACTTCAAGTGTACTTTGTAACTAGAGAAAATATGTGTTGTTTTATATAGGATGATGCACCTCACCATCTGCACTCCCTTTTCAAAATTCTAGATCTGCCCTGCATACTGAGATATTTGAACTGGCTTTAACTGAGAAGCAGAATAAATTAACCTTTACAGAACTCCAGGCTGTTGCAGGGAGGCTGCTGCAAGCACCCCAGCTCATTCATTTAGATGTAACTCAGTATCTCCATACTATACTATGCTACTTGCAATGTAGACATCACCCATTCCTCACTGCTGGCGTTGACTCCTCAGAGAATCTCACTGACTGGTACTAAACAGGACACTATGGCCATGTCCAGATGTGCATGGGCATGTGCTTGCAGCAGCACAAATAGTAGCGGCACAAATTTATGCTGGTACTTTGTGTTGCAGCGTGTGCTCCTGCACCTGTTCCATACTGAGGGACAAATTGTCCCGCTTTGGGCAAACTGCCCTTTCCCTGCTCCTCCTGGCTTCCAGAGTGCTGGAGCAGCCAGGGTGCAAATCAAATAACAGAGACACTCTGGCCAGCAGCCAGAGCATCTCCCTGGAGGACCAAGCTTCTGTTTGTTCTGGCACATGATATTGTAGTATGTGCTGCTTTTTTCTCAGCCTTTTTTTTTGCTACCGGGAAACCCCAGTAGAAAAGTTTTTCCCTGCACTTCACAGTTGCGGTGTGGGGCGTGTTTTAACATTCTAGGCATGCAGTTTGTGGTGCTGCAAAGAGGTTTGCAGAGCCACAAACCACACATGCCTGCATGTCTGGATATGGCCCATGAATCCACCAGAGAGAGACTTTGCAGAGCAATTAAATTGCCCTTTCCTCACTGGAAGAAAGTAACCCTGCAAATTTGGGCTAGGACACAGCCCAGGATGAAACAATATAGAGAGCAATATCTCCACTTGTCCTAGCTGGTGATGGGTTCTCTGGGTAGGATATGGAGTGTCTGGAAGACAGTTTGTAAAACCCAAGACAGAGTAAACATGCTGAATAAATTTCCACCAGATAGGGCGCCTTCAGGGTAGAGGTGAGGTACACTGAAAGCACTGATGGAGCAGTGTTACAAAATCAAAGACTGAAGAAGCCAACACTGCAGAGACTGTTGCACTGAATCACATGTACTTACAGGCATGGGGGCTCAAAGCAATTTTGCATGCACTGCAGAAACTAAGGTTGTGTGAAATACCCACATGCCAAGAGGTTAGACCCACATTCATTTTGTTAGAATATGTAGAATGGGCAGAAAGAGGCATGGCCTGAATTTTGGTGACCATGAGAAATGGGCCCTGGGCCACGGCCATGGGGGAAAAAAGTTCTGGTTTGGATTCCTGTTTCCCATGATGTGAAATCTGCATTCCTCACAAAGGGTAAGAGCATGTCTGCTCTATGGCTTAGCTTAAGATATTTCTTCCCTTCATTCTTAAGGCAGTACTATTCAGCCTTTGAGTAAGTCCACCAACACTCAGTTTGTGTTTGAAGGAGACATCGCATGCATGGTGGGGAGTTAAAGCGTTTGCAGGCAGACAGAGCGTGACCATCTCACCCACAGTCTCAAACAGTCTTACTTCATTCAGTACAAGCTCAAGGAGGATATCAGATTTTTACCGTGTGTGTAGTCTGAAAGCAAGAAGGGGTCTGAGGTGTCATGGCCCACCTCTTCCATCAGCTGCTTTGGCACTGAAATGGAAAAGGAGACAGTACTGAAAGAGCAGCTTGGTCACAACCTATAGAAAAGGTGTGGCAGCCAGGGGCTGACAGGAGATAGGAGGGCTGCAAGATATCCTAGGTGGGAACTTGGGAAACATGAAGGTATAGCTGGACAGTGGTTAAGGTATCTTGCTATGGACTTTTGCTCCAGCTGACACAGCTGTGAGTCAGTACCAGGTTATCAGGCTGAGGGTATCAAAGATGTTACAGACACCAGTGTGTCTAACTGCACTAGCCTGTTGAGTTACTAGGCTTGAAATAGGGCACTAGACTCAGAGCATGACTGAGAATGCCACTGCCTGAATTAAAAAACATAATAGGGCTCGTACCACAAGTGTAGGAGACCCGCAGCTGTTTCTTCATGCCAGGGAAGCAGGGATCCCCAAAGGTGGCCGTGTCAGCTAAGACTGTGCAGTTCTCCTTCTTGTGACACTTCCTGGAGACTCTCCTCAGGGCATCAGGAGCTAAACACTCTGCAAATGCAATTGTCAAGCTGATATTACCCAACAGCTGAGAATAAAGCAGGATGGCTGTATTTCCTCCAAAGGAGGTTTTCAAGAAGAGGCAGAAAAGGGATATATCTGCAGCAGTGTAAAAACAGCAAATCCTGCAATCTGTGCAGGGGTTGAACTAGGTGCCCACTGAGATTCACACCCTGAGAGTTTGTGATTTCCTGATTTGGATAAAGAAACCCTGTAGCCCAGTGCCATGACATGGCCTTTAATGTCCTGTTACAATACCATGGAAAGCATTCATGAATGAGCATATATGGGCCACCTTGTCAGGACTGCATACACATCTCACTGCTCATTAAGAAGGGAGCTGGTTAAGGATGAATGATGCACCTAATGTGTCTGGGGTGCTGATTGTATACATACACTTCCATGATTTTGTACATACACTTAGAGCAATAGCCTGGTGGAGCATGGCTCCAGGATCTGCTGTGAGGGGCCTGGCTGAATGTGAGTACAATCTTGTATCTAGGTGAAAAGTACCCACCCACATCAGTGTAATGCCTTGGCTATAAGCATGGAAATGAAAGATTTCCCACATAGCATTGTCCTGGCTCTAGACTGCGTAAGGTCTTTGGCAGTATCCCAACTCATTCTTGAACACTTCTGTCTGTGAAGGAGTCTCAGCCAGATTCCCAGTTTGTACCTTCCCAACATACCTATGTGGGGGCCAGTCCTGCTCACACCATCGCACTCCGGCTTCCCCCGCAGTAATCGCCCATAACTTGCAGAGTAAATTGTTAGGACGGACTTAGTCCTACACTGCAACTTCAGCTTGTCATTCTCACACACTGTCTTAATGCGGTGGTTAGCTAGGAAACAACATGACAGAACATGCTATTGCATCATTAACAGTTAAGTCTTTTCATCTATGAATGAATAAAGTGCCTTGTATTGGAGCCTTGAAGAAGTGGGACCTTCCAGTCCTTTCCAAAGTCTGTGCAATTTAAAACCCAACTGCAGCATTAATAGTAGCATTAAATAGTAGCATTAAAACATTGCCTTTGCCTTCTTCTTTCCAGCTGGGTGACAAATGTATTAACTATTTGTTACTATTTCCATATAGGAGTAGAAAAGTACTTTTTATCCTATGGATTCTTTGACTATTTGTTGAACTGTATGACTTAGGTCACACTTTTTCTTTTTAGCTTCTTAATAGGGACCATTTTTCCCTGTGCAAATGTACAGTACCTAGCACACAAAGGCATGCTGCAATATTAATAAAAATAATTCCCATCTCTCCAGTAACAGGATGATCCATCTAGGTCACCAGTGAAGTTCATTGGCAATGCACCAACAAATACAACAAATCCCCTTTATATCCTGATACATCAATAGCCTATGGACAACCACAGAGTGCTGAGCAAAGCCTGCCCCAGCATTTTAAATCCATTTGCAAAGCTCACCTGGTCTACACTTGTATGAAGCTATCAGGTACTTGTGTGTCCCAGGACATGGGTCTTGCCCAAACACTTGGCTATGCACAGAGAACTGGCACCACCTCTGGTCCTGGCATTCGTCCAACAATTTCTGTGGGAAGAGAGCAGCCAAATATACATTTAACATGAGAAATCCTGATGCCATGTCCCTCTACCCTAGAGCACCTCCATATACTGACACCAGGCCATGGAGCAGTGATCCAGGTGATGGATCACACTCCCAAACTTTTATAGCAAGTAAAACATCTGGGCATTGGACCTCAGCGATAACATTCTGCTGTACCCAGGAATGACCCTTTCTTCCGTAAGTGCCTTTCAGAGCTGTTACAAAACAACGAAACAGAAATTTACCCTTTACCAGACTTTTTTCAGCCAAAGGAAAAAAGTTATAATAGAAAAGTATGGAGCCCATCAGTTTCAAAACCTTCAGTGATTTCTCCTCCTTTTTCTATATCTTCCACATGCTGTGTAGTGCCTGCCACATTGGGAATAAGGCAATCTGACTTTTCTGTTTCACTGCATGACAAAGTACGCATCTCCCTGTTATCCCTATGCATCAGGCGTTGCTCTTTGATGTTCACAGCCTTCCCCTATCTGTATCTCAATTCCTTCATCTTAGCCAAATCAAACATATTTCCTCCAATTAGTGCATGTCCCCCGCCCCGCATATCTAATACACAATGCAGAACTGAACATAATATTCTTCCCATCGCCATATTGAACATATGTAGAATGGGAACTATCCTGCATTACTCCAATGTTACACAATGTCTTGGCTTAAGCAGCCTAACCCTGTCCTTGTCTATGGAAGACACATTGCACTGCAAACTCATGGCTAAATTGTTTGTTCCTGGCATGTTTCTATAAGCTACACTAGCCCCAGTGGAAAGATTCAAGTCACTGGAAACACCAGTGCTGCCAACTTGTACAGCTTTATCAGAAGTCCTGTGATATTTGTAATTTTTCTTAACATTCTGGCTCATGGAGTAAAGTGGTTACAAGAGAATCACAGTTTGTATTTAGAAACAAAAGTAAGTTTTTTTATCCTCATGGTTGTGGAGAAGGAAGGGGAACAAAAAGAACTGAACATGTTCATGTTCAAGACCAGAGTCAGAGTTGCAGCACCCCCACCCCACAATTCTGTTTTGTCTGCAAATCTAAGACAAGGGTCTTTCCCCACTATGCCAACTGGGTGGGTGGGTGGGAGGTTGTCTTAGATTCAAGTAAGTAGGGTATTATCTTTATGGTACCTTTTGGTGTGCTAAGATCATTTTATTGAGGGCTAATGCTTTCTAGACTTTACTTTCCTACTGACCGTCTGTCCTGCAGGATATGCTTCCATAGGTGCATTCATCTGCATTAGTCTAACTTTAATCTGATATGAGTTTTTTTTCTGCCTATACTTTATCAGTCCCTGTCCTTTTGTATTATTTCCCTTTCCTCACTCATGTTCACAAGTCCTCTCAGTTTAATATCTGGCAATTCCATCAACCATGCTATTTATTCCTCAAATCAGCTTTTCTCAATCTTTTTAAGGTAGCTACCCCTTATTTGAAATGGAACATTTTTGCAAACTGCCATATATTTACTATAAAAGTAAATATATGGAACAAGGATCATGCTCAGGAACATCTATTGCTGATTTGTGTTTTAGAGATTGACAGAGAATCCTTGTGACCAGGAATTAAGTATTGTCTTTGCCTTAGATTTTAATCCAATTTTCAACACCTGGTTTCATGCCTTTCTGGCAGTTGAGACCCACTGGGTCAAAAAACCCTTTAGATCTTCAGTAGTCAATTAAGTGGATTGAAATTCTGTGCACTGCAGCTTGACAGTACCCTTCTGAGACTTTTGTAATCCATGTTATAGTGTTTTCACCCTAGATCCTAGGTCCCAAAGCATCAGCTCTCAAGGCACTAGCTGGCCCACCCCATCGACAATCCACCACCCTTCTCCCCACCCCAGGCAAACCTTGGATGACAGCCTGACAGCTCCAGGGGCAGCTTGTGCATGAAGCAGGTCTGCAGCATCCGGAGGCTGAAAAGGAAGAGCAAGGTGCATGCCCTGAGGATCCTGGGGGCCCCAGCATGCACAGGTGGTGGCTGGCTGGGCAGCAGAGCGGAGGTGGACTTCACAGGCCACGTCCTATGTGACGGGGTGGCCACAGGGAAGAGGGCGCTGTAGCTGCTATGTGTGACAGACAAGCATGCACTGTGCAGGTGGGTATGGTGGTGGCAGTGGATGCGGGCACACAAGTGCCCACAGTGTGTGGCTGCTGGCCTGTGGGCCTGCAGGTGCCTCCCAGCTGGCTGGGGGCCACGGGCACAAAGGGCTTATCCTGCACAGACAGTCCAGCCGCCAAGATGCCCACTTGCAGCTGCAGCAGCATTGCATCCGTGCTGCTGCCCAATCAGCTGCCACTCATTCATGCTGAGGCCCCTGGGACCCTCGGGGCATGCACCTTGCTCTTCCTCTTCAGCTTCCTAATGCTGGGGAGCTGTTTCATGCATAGGCTGCCCCACGCCATCTCCCCCACCAAGTGCAGGGCTTGCTCCTACTCTCTGCCACTCTCGAGTAGCCGCAGTCACCCCCACCCCCAGCCAGGCACAAACATAAATTCCCCCCTCGCACCCGGCTGGATAAGCAGACGGACCTGGCTCTTCCCCCAGCTGGGGTTTGCCCTGGATGGGGGGCAGTCTCTCCCAGGCTGTTGTCTCAGCCCCATGACCCGCTTTCTGCTAGAGTGGAGAGTAGGGGGCATGGCCACACCCTGGCCCAGGGCCAGCACACTGAGCCAGGAAAGGGGGTTTAAACCCCCTCCCTGGCCCCAGACCACAGCCAGACTTTGCTTGTGGAGTGCAGTCTCTCCTAGGCTTTCCCTTCACTACCCCATGCCCTGCCCCATGCCCCTGTCCCTTCCAGCGGGGAAAAGTCTGGCAGGGACTGACCCCCCAGGCAGACCCAGCTGCAGGCCCCAGC